TGTTGGGGGCAATATGCTGACTCTGTAAACCGCTTAGAGAGGGCTGAAAGCCCTATGAAGCGGTATATAAGTCTAACTGCTATTGCTATTGCCTAGGCTGAAATATCCAAGTCTCTCTTCTTCTTCTGCAGGAGATCATTCTAGATCCAGGCTACAGCACGATGGACAAACCTGGATCTGAATTTAGGTGAGAGAATCCGGAACGGGCCTTTGGTACCATCTCCCTTACCTGCTGCCTGGCGGTGAAATAAAATTTACGTTAGTTTTGTTTTCCTGACCTCTGCAGGAAGAATGCAACAGACTCAGATGACTACGACGATGTAGATATGTAAGTTCTGTCTTAACTGCTTACAGTTAAAGCTGACCGGGGGGGGGGGGGGGATTCTGGGAGCTGAAGTCCACCTGTCTTAAAATGGCCAAGGTCTCCCTGCCCTGCTCTCGAGTTGCCATAGGCAAGTGGCGGGGCGGGAAACCGCTGGAGCAGCACAGCAGCCAAACGCAGAACTACATTCTAACCTTACCTCCCTCAAGGCCATCTTCCAGGGTTACCCACAGCGGGCTGGAGGGGAGTGATCTCTACAACCCGAGAAACTGCTCCATTGGCGAATGTGATTTATGACACGCCCCCTGGGGGAGGGGGGGGAAACAGGGTCATGATCGGGACGTATATTACGTGGGGTGAGAGTTGGCTTCACTTGGGTAGGTGCTGGGTTTCTTATGAAGCTTGGCTCGCGGCTCATGATTTAATTAGGGCATCTGACTCAGAACTCTGAGAAAAGGTTGAGAAACAGTAGGTTTTGACCATGGCAAAATGGCAACAAAGGACTCGTAAAACAATGAAGTGGCAATGGGGGCCACTAAACTCCCTGAGCGTAATCCCCCTTGGTCATTCTTTCTCTCCTAAATTCTCCTTCTTTTCTCTTCTGCCTTCCAGCCCCTGCAGACCAGACTTAACCAGGTAACCATTTCTCCTAGAATTTGTAAAATATCAAATTATAGAACACGTAGTCCTTTAGCCAAAAGTTGGGAAGAGATGGATCTCGGAATCCATCAAGGAGCTAGTCCCTCAGACCAATAAATTCCGGCTTGGGATTTGGAAATTACAGTCCTGGAAAATAAAATGTTTTCTTTGCTGTCTGAAGGGATTTAGCTCGTTGGGAGTAGTTCGGCGAGACCTGCAGTGACTTTTCACAGTGAATTATGATGTCCTGCTATGGGGGCCCTTGGTGCTCTTTGAAACTGGTTGTTTCCTTGCAGGCATTTCATGGCCCAGCTAGGTAACATCATCAGCGCTAGAAGGGAGTGAGGCTTAAAAACAGAGAGCAAACCCCGTACCCTTCTAGTACTGATAAGCAGAGGTGGTATTCAACTGGTTCTGACCAATTCTGCCAAACCGGTAGCGGAAATTTTGAGTAGCTCAGAGAACCGAGAAATGCCACCTCTGGCTGGCCCCGCCCCTGATCTATTCACTGTCTCCCGAGTCCCAGCTGAATGGCTGGGTCTTCTTTTGTTGCCCTGCACAGGAGACGAGCTGGAAAGCAGGTTAGTGGGATGGGGTGGGGAGGGAATGGGGATTTTGTAGTATCCTTCCCCCAGGAGTGAGGAGTGAATGGGGATTTTGCATTATCCTTCCCCCAGGAGTGAGGAGTGAATGGGGATTTTGGAGTATCCTTCCCCCAGGAGTGAAGAGTGAATGTGGATTTTGCAGTATCCTTCCCCCAGGAGTGAGGAGTGAATGGGGATTTTGCATTATCCTTCCCCCAGGAGTGAAGAGTGAATGTGGATTTTGCAGTATCCTTCCCCCAGGAGTGAGGAGTGAATGGGGATTTTGCATTATCCTTCCCCCAGGAGTGAAGAGT